GACTGGGAGGAGAACCAGTGACCTTTTGGTTCACGGACTGGCACTCAATCCACTGAACCATACCAGCCAAGGCCAGTAAATATAATTTTAAAAAAGAAAAAGGAAAAAAAGCATAAGTTCTTGAACTTGAAGAAAAAACTCAGGCTCAGTGTGTCCCCAATAAGTCTGGTGCAAAGTATAAAACACATAGAAAATTTAAGGAAAAAACTATAAAACCAAGATAATAGCTGAAGATGTAACTAAACTCATGTAGACGGCTGCCAAAGACTTAGGGTTTTTAGAGTACCTGTCTACAGAACTGAGATCTTTTTTTAAAAAATTGAGTTTGCTGGGGTGACGTTGATTAATAAAATTACACAGGTTTCAGCCCTGGTTGGGTAGTTCAGTTAGTTAGGGTATCATCCCGATATGCCAAGGTTTCAGGTTTGATTCCCTGGTCAGGGCACATACAAGAATCAACCAATGAACGCATGGATGGGTGGAACAAAAACTGGTGTTTCTCTCTCTTTCTCTCTCCCCTTCCCCTCTCTCTAAAATCAATAAGTAGATTTTAAAAAATTATATAGGTTTTAGGCATACAATTCTACAATACATCATTTATATACTGTACTGTGTGTTTATCACTCCAAGTCAAGTGTCCTTCAAGCTGAGGTCTTTTAGCTCTGTGAGCATGTTTCAGGAGTTGTAATGCACATAGAAACTCAGATCCTTGGCTCTGTCTCACACCTGCTGCAAGAAACCCCTCTACCAAAATTCCTCAGAAGGTGCTCCTTTAGCCTGTGTTTGAATGACTCTGATAATGATAAGCTCACTACTCTCTTCCTTTGGATGACTTTGTTTGTGAGCTCAAGTGCTATTGATAGTAATGAGAAATTGGAATTAACCCAGATAAATAGGGTTAAATAATCCTAGCTACTATGATGATAGAGCACAGTATAGCCACTGAAAATGATAAGAATGTAGCTTATCTTAATGCATGGAAATGTGTATGCAGTAATCTTAAGTGACAAGCACATTTACACACTGATTACACCTAAGTTAAAACCAAAGTGTGCACATTAAGAACTAGAAGATAATTTAGAATGGTACAAATAGTTCTAGTTTCAAGTTACTTTGATTTTTAAAAAAGTGATATATGTATACAATTCTAAATACAATTTAGGATCCAGAATTTAAAAAAAAAAACAAAACTCCATTAAAGGGCTTGGGGCATGTCATTTCAAGATTGATTGAGAGTGTGTGCATGGAGCACTAGATTTGAAAAGGCTGCTAAGGCTATGTCTCAGCACCATGGGAAAGAGTGATAGGTTTGAGCAATGATATCCGCCATGGGTGAAGGATTAACAGTGGCAGTGTGCGTGCTGTTTAGTTGCCGCCTCTTCTTGAGACATTCTCGGCAATGAGCGTCATTTTTGTAGGCACTCTGAAAGATGAATGAGCTGTTTAAGGAGCCATGTGCACAAAGAGACCTATTCTTTCAGTGACAAGCGGTAGGACTGGGGGCAAGTCAATGGGATATAAGATGGTATGAAATAAATACCATAAGGGGAGGAAAAGCAATGGCCTCCACAGTTGGGGTCAGTTTGAGACTACGTGGGCACAATGCAGAGAATCTGTGACATTTGTAGTGGGTCTTGAAGGATGAGACGTTCTTGCAGGTGGAGATGCCTGGGAAGGTTGTTCCAGACGGCGAGCACAGCATGGGTAAAGGGACGAGGCTGAAAAATAACAGGTCTCCTTGAGAGGAAACAAGGAGGTCACTATGAGTGTTTGTATGTTAGCAGTAGAAGATGAGAATGGAAACATAGAAAGGGACCAGACTGAGCGTGCCATGAAGCCCAGAATGATGACTTTGGATTTTATTTAGTTAGCGACTGGGAGGCCTTTGATGAGTTTTGAGGCAGGTGGTGCTTAGAGCGAGATAAAATAAAACCAGAGGGTGATGAGGAACTACCTCTTTCCTGGGAGACTATCACTCTACAGAGGGTCCCCAGGGCCTAGATTTTAACAAGAGCCCTTTGGAGCATGGGGTGGAAATCCGAGCACTGGGATAGTGGGGTGCGGGAGACATAACCAAGACCCATTGGGAACAGTCCCACGGGCTCCAACTACTGTTCAGGGTTTCTCGAGCCCAGGGTCAGGTACAGGGCGGTGGAAGCCACAGGCACAGCCACGGCCTTCTGGGAGCTTTCAGTCTATGGAGACAGGAAACGTACCCAGGAAACAATCGGAGACTGATCCTAGACAGTATGAGATTCAGTCCCAAGGGTACAGCACAGCTGGGTGTGCGGTGTTTAAGGGTAGAAAATAAACTTGCATCCTGACTGGTGTGACTCAGTTGGTTGGACATCACCCCACAAAGCAAAAGGTTGCAGGTTCGATTCCTGCGACCCCAAGGCACATGCCTGGGTTGCTGGTTCAGTCCCTAGTCAGGGTGCATATGAGAGACAAGCAATCGCTGTTTCTCTCCCTCTCTTTCTCCCTCCTCCTCTTTCTAAAAATAAATAAATAAAATCTTTAAAAAAGAGAAAATGAACTTGGGCGGGAACCAGTGCACCAGGCTTCCTGAAGCTCTTGTCCTTGGTAGGGAGTGGCCCTGGATGACTTCTAAGGTATCCTCAGACTCTGCACATCCTGGGCTCTTGGGGGTGGGGCCCTGAAGGATGGGCAGAGTTTGGACACGTAGAAGAGAAAGAAGTCGGCTTCCCAGGAAGGGGTCCTGGGTGGCAGAGGGGCAGGCCAGGGGCAGACTCGGATGAGGAATGTCCAGGGGTGCCGAGGAGACCGACTGAGCTGTCAGGTCAGGTTGGGTAGTCAGGGGCTGCAGACCCCCAGGGCCTGGTAGACAAGCGGGATGCCTGGCCTCATGCAGCAAGCCAGGGCTGCTCAGGGGGGATGTGCTGCCGCTGGGGTTTGGGGAAGTTCAGCTTGGCGGCTGTCAGACTCCCAGGGTCCTACCAGATAAGGAAAAGTCATTGGAGGCCCACGCTGGGGCGCCCGGTAGGCCTCACAAGACTTGGGGGATCCCATGGACTCTGCTGCATTCAGAGGAGTTGGCAAGATTCCAAAGATCCTATGACTTCCTTTTGCTTGCGCTTCCAAATCTGCAGATCCCCTACCCCTGGGATGCCATTCAATCCCAGAGTCCATTGTGTCCCCGGGAACTACAAGGAGGAATGGGAGCTGATCTGGCCTTGAGACAATCAGGCAGGTACCTCCCTGTCTAGGCAAGGCGTGGGCAGACCTCTGATGTCTTCCCTCCTTCCCCTCGCCAATCATAGGGCTGGGGGAAGCTCCAGGGCTCTGGCTGGGCAGTGGCGGTGGTGGCCGGAGTGGAAAATCCCCCACTGGCTGGGTTATACTGGTGTTTGGCAGGCCTGGTCTTGGCCTTCCGCCTGGGGCCTGAGGGCCTAACAATTCTGTTTGGAGCCCTGAGTGTGGGGTACCAGGTGGCAGAGAGGGCACTGGTGCGGGGACTTTTTTTCCACTCACCCCAAAATGGGGGGCTCTCCTGTGCCAGGCTAATGTGCTGGGCCAGCTCCAGGTCACCTCAGGCGATGAGAAGCATGTGGCTGGGAAGCAGGCAGGGCCTGGAGATGGAGGACGGAGGCACAGGATAGACCAGACCTCGGGGCAGGAAAAAGGGCTAACGAGGGCTTGGGAGGAGAGTGGCAGGGGACACAAGCATTTCAGGAAAACTAAAATCAGGGGTGGAGTTGCAATGGTGCTGGAGAAGAGAGATAATGAAAAAAAGAAGCAAGAGCCAGCCATATCCCCTCTCTCCGTGCCCCTGCCCTCAGCCTCCTGCTGTTCCAGAGCAGCACAGGATGCACAGCCAGAAGCCAGTTCAGCTCACACAACAGGTGTGTCATGAGAACTTGATGAATTATAATAAGAATTTCTCTGCCCTGGCTGGTGTGGCTCAGTGGATCGAGTGCCGCCCTGTGAACCACAGGGTCGCCCGTTTGATTCCCAGTCAGGGCACATGCCTGGGTGGCAGGCCAGGCCCCCGTGGAGGCGCACCAGAGGCAACCACACATGATGTGAGGCAACCACACACTGATATTTCTCTCCCTCTCTTTCCCCCTCTTTTCCTTCTAAAAATAAATTTAAAATATTAAAAAAAAAAAAAAAGAATTTCTCCAAGTGCCACATTTGACCTAAAAAGCCTCCCAAGCTGCCCCAAAGAGCTGAGACTTCGGCCACCGGCATCCCTCCCCACCACCTGCATCAGCGCTAGTGACACGGCCATCATTGCCGTTAGGGCCACTCCCCACCACTGCCAGCATCACCGTCATCCCGGCCACTGACCCCGTCATCCCCCAGCTCCCCTAACGGCAGCCCCTTACCTCAAGGGATTGGGGCTGCTGGAAGCCGGGACTTGAGTCAGACCCCTAGGCCTATCACCTCTAAACTGACAGTTCTCAACAATTTTGGCCTTTGAGACCATGAGCAATGCCTGGAGACAACGGGGGGACGGCTGCTGGCATCTAGTGGGTAGAGGCCATGGATGCTGCTAAACATCCTCCAATGCACAGGGCAGCGCCCACAATGAAGAATTATTTATTCTAAAATGTCCGTAGTACTGAGGAGGAGAATGCACCTACAGATCCTATGGCCGCCTCCCTGGCTCTACCTTTCTCTGGCCTCATCCCAAAATGGCCACATCACACTTTTGATTCTTGGACAAGGAGTAATCTTTGCCGCTCCAACTTTGTTCTCTCTTATCGCTTGTGCCTCCTGGTCTCCATACTTGTATTAAAAAGTCAATAAGATGAAAAGTCCTTTGTGGCCACCCCTGTGAGGGAAAACACACAGAAACAATCGATAGGCGGAGCCCGGGCTATACCAGGGGTCGAGGTCATGCTTGCCCAGGGCAGGGAGGTAGGGGCTGTTCTGGCCCCAGGGGGTATAAAGGACAGAGGGCTCAGGCTTTCACTAGCCTGCAAGCGCCGGTCTCGGAGTGGCTTTTGCTCTGTGGCCAGTTGGGAATCGGCATCATGAAGTGGATGGTGGCAGCCCTGCTCTGCCTCCAGCTCCTGGAGGCGAAGGTGGTCAAGTGAGTTTGGGGCCCGGCTTCTGGTGCAGGGGCCTGGGCAGGAGACGGCAGCCCTGCGAGGGGTGGCCTGGCCGGGGGCACCCCGGCCGCCTCTGCTCTAGGATGTCTGCGAGGGGCAGGACGGGCTCCCTGAGTCGGTAGCACAGGAATCACAGGTGGGAGGAGACACAGCTTCCGCCCTGGGGGAGCTTCCAGTCAAAGGAAGAAAAGATGGACCTGAAACAGACGAGGGGTGACCGCTGCTCACAGAGACCCCACAGGGCGGCTGCGGTTCCTCTCACAAGAAGGAACAATTCATTGTCTCTGGATAGGGAGACATTTGCTAAAGACTTCCTGTGGCCCAAACTTATTTGGCAGATGACACAATCACCTAAGCAGGAACATCGTGATGGAGTCTCTACACTGGGGTCAGGAGAGAGGGAGTGAGGAGCGGGGCTCGCAGGTGTGGGAGGGCTGGACCCGCCACACCTCGGCGCCAGAGCGATTCCTTAGGTGGAGACATGGATCATCTTAGAAACTTCTTGTAACGTGCAAATTCTGTAGAAGTGGTTAGAAAAGCTAGCAGCTCAATGTGAAGAGCTCAGTGTGAATGTCCCCGCAACCCGTGGGGCAGGCGTGGGATAACCCAGGGCAACATGGGCAGAAACCCAAATTCTCAAGTCCCAGTTCCAGAGCTGATCTGGGCTCCAAACCACCCAGGCCCATCTCCCCATTGTCTCCGTGTCCTGAGAACAGCAGTGATTGGTCCCAGGCCAGACATTTCGCAGCAGAGGCAGAACCGGGACCCTGCCTTCTGAGTCCCCACCTAGCTCTGTTCTCCTGCACCCACGATCTGTCACAGTCAGCTGGTGCCAGGTGCCTGAGGGCCACCAGAGAGGACTCTCCTTGGGACGAAGTTTGTCCTCTCTAAAACCTTGTAAAAATGCACATATCCTGCAAAGGGTCATGCCTGAAGCCCCTCACCTCTCCCTGGGAAGGGATGTATGGGATCTTCGAGAGCAGAGGGCTTGGGGGGTGAGGACCCTTGAGATGGGGAGGGAGCATTGTGGGTGAAGGTAATTGTTTCTTGAAACATGGAGCAAATCCTGAAAAGAGTTTTGAAAGAAAGGGAAGGAAAGGGGAAGAAAGAGAAAGGCAGAGGGATTAAGAGACAGAGAGAGACAGATGAGGAGAAAGAGAGAGAGAGAGACAAATGGAAAAAGAAAAAAACAGACACACAGGAGCAAGGGTACAGGGTGGCAGCGAGACTGAGGCGCACAGTTAGAGATGGAGAGAGAGTCCGGGGCTATTGATCAGAGGTGCTGTAGGGAAGATGGAGGACCCTGCCCTGACGCGCAGACCTTCTGCAGAGTCCCCCTGAAGAAATTCAAGTCCATCCGTGAAACCATGAAGGAGAAAGGCTTACTGGAGGAGTTCCTGAAGAACCACAAACACGACCCTGTTAAGAAATACCATTTTAGTGACTTCAGCGTGTCCTACGAGCCCATGGCCTACATGGATGTGAGTCCTGACCCCCCGTGGGTACCCCTCTCCCTGCTGCCAAAGGCTAAAAGCAAGGCCCGGGCAGTGAGCTGCACCCCTCCACTCCACCCACCCTGCAACCGCTGCTCCTTTCTCTCAGACCTGCCAGCCTGGACCTCATTCCCTGGAGGGAGCATGGGAGGGGCCTCGGCTGACCTGGCAGCTCAGCCACAGAGACCTCTGCAGCCGCCCTGGGCAGGCACAGGCTGAGGGTGTGTGGGCTCTGGGCAAGTGCAGAGGGAAGGCTCAGGCCCCTGCTTCTGGTGGGGGCTGTTGGGCAGGAGCCGGTCCGTCCTCTGCTCTGCCCATGGAGGAGGCTGGGCTGTAGGTCCTGGATCCCTCCAGAGCTCACAGCCTGCTCCACCACCCTACCCCAGGCTGCCTACTTCGGTGAGATCAGCATTGGGACCCCACCACAGAACTTCCTGGTTCTTTTTGATACCGGCTCTTCCAACCTGTGGGTACCCTCTGTGTACTGCCAGAGCCAGGCCTGCAGTGAGTGCTGGGCAGGGCAGGGGGGGCGGTGGGTGGGGGAGTGCACTGACACCCTCTGGGGAGGGGCAATCTTCACAGGGATCACTGTGGGGAGCTTCGGTCCTGGAGAGGACCAGGAACTAGGCCAGGGTCACATGGCATGTCCAAGGGAGGAAGCAGGTCCTGGACCAGCACCTCCACCTTGCCTTCCCTGCTCGCCAATACCCATTCCTTCATCTGCTCCAGCCCACCCCACTCTGCTCCGTTCTTTACTAAGTTCTCAGTGAGTGTCTCCAAGGCACACGGGAGGACAATATAGGATGTGGTTCCCGCCCTGCGGTCATATTTGGAGACAGATGATGTTCACTCCCTAAGGCTGCCCTGGTCTCTGCCAAAGCCTTGAGGTTTGGGTCCTCACGCCTGTAGTCCAGAGGGTCCCCCGTTGGTCCCACCCGAGATGACCTCCGGATCTTGGAATGGCTAGCTTCTGGACCTGGTGAGGGTTGGGGAAAACAGGGGTGCCCTGGAGAGTCATTTATCGGCACTCGCTGTGTGCCCGGTGATGTGCTGGGGCCAGGGAGACAGAGATGGATCTGCGCAACCTGCCCGCAGGGAGGCCATAGCCCTAGAGCTCCCCAGAGTCTGTAACTCAGAGGGGGCTTTGGGGCCAAGGCTGGCCACTCCCAGGGGCCTTTCAATGCTGGGAGCCTGGGCTGCCCACCGCATGAGGAGTGGCGGGGTGTGCTGAGGGCACAGGGTGCGAACATAGGCCTGAGAGCCAGGGCGGCCCCCCACGCTCCAGCCTGGCTTCCTGAACCCTCCCTCGCCCTGCAGCCGGCCACAGCCGCTTTAACCCCGGCCAGTCCTCCACCTACTCCACCAACGGGCAGACCTTCTCCCTGCAGTACGGCAGCGGCAGCCTCACTGGCTTCTTCGGCTACGACACGATGACGGTGAGTGACGCGGCTGCGGCTCCCACCCCAGGACGTGGGCTCTAACCTCACAGGCCACAGAGGCTAACCCGGAGATTGAGACGGAGACCCTGAAAAATATGGAGAACACCTCACGCTCTACTGTATAGGACAGGACATTAGTACAGTCGGGGCTCATTCATTCACTCATTGAACCCTCACTAAGGGCCACCATGTGCAGGATACCGAGCACACCATGATGAACAGGATGACCCGGTCCTTGGGCGAGGGGGTGCTGTTGGCACTCAGGGAAGGCCATTCAGAAGAGAAAGTGGTTCTTGCAAGACCTGCCAAGCAGGAAAGGACATACGAAGGAAGAGGAAGAATGAGTCTTGAGGGGTCTCTGGGGATGTCTGGGGGAGGTAGGTGGAGTTACACTTGTCACCTTGCATGCTCTGTGTCCCCTCCAGGTCCAAAGCATCCAGGTCCCCAACCAGGAGTTCGGCCTCAGTGAGAATGAGCCGGGCACCAATTTCGTCTACGCGCAGTTTGACGGCATCATGGGCATGGCCTACCCAGCCCTGGCCGTGGGTGGGGCCACCACAGCCCTGCAGGGCATGCTGCAGGAGGGCGCCCTCACCAGCCCGGTCTTCAGCTTCTACCTCAGCAAGTGAGGAGTGGCCTGGGGGGGGGGGTCCCCCAGCGCCCAGCCCCTCCCCTCTTCCTCCATCCTGGACAACTGAGGTTCCATCCTGTGCGATCTGGAGGCTTCCCAGCAGGCACTTGGCCCCAGCCACTCTGTCCCAGGGCCTTCTCCCCTGGGCTTCTGACTGCTTCCCCATCCCTTTCTGTCCCCGCCCACTTCTCCCAGCATCCCTTCTTCTGGCCGAGCTTTGCTTTGAGTGTTGCTGCTGATTCTTAATACCTCTTGGATTTACCTCCTGCCCAGATCCCCAGTGGGCTCGTTTCCTTCTGACCCACTGTTCACTACCTGGGCACCTCCTTTGATCTATTGCTTCAACTCCTTTGATCTATTGTTCCAGCTAGGTCCTGGAATAATAGCCAGGTCCAGACTCTGGTCAAGGTCCTCCATCACCTCCTAACAAGTGGTCATCCCCACCGCAAACACAAGCAAACACGGTCATTTCTGTGGATGGGCCTGGGAACTGGCGGTGGGAGGGGGCGCGAGGCTTGGAATGGACTTTCCTTTTTCCCTCTCAGATTAGCCAAACACCTTGTAAAGAGAGTATCTACTATCTGGGGCTTAATCACCACAATCTGACTTTCACCCGCATTAACTACCCTGTTTCTAATGTTGCCGATTTACTACCTCTGTTTACAATTACTCTGAGTGTAGCCTTTGGGAGCTTCCCCCAGTTCCACACTCAAGTTCAGCTACCAGGGAAGGCCTCTCAAACAAACGCAGATGTCCTTCCCTCCCCTCCACCAAGGCCCTCCCTCCCTTTAATTCCAGCAGAAAATACCAGCTGGGCCTGGGTCCAGCTCCACCAGCATCATGAAGTGGAAGGGAGAAAAAAATGGGGCTGCACTGGAGGACCACACAACCAGCAGCTTCCCCAGAGGCAGGACTTAGTGGGGCAGCATCACCCAGGAGCCTGAGGCACTGGGAATTCCAGAGGCCCAGTCTAAGGAGAAGACATGGCTCCGTCCTCAGGGAGCCCCAGTCTGGAGCCAGGGCAGGACCCTCTGAGGGTGGCTGCTCCACAGGGAAGTCCCCTCTCACAGCCACCCCCTGACTCGTCCTCCCCTTTGCCTCCTGCAGCCAGCAGGGTTCTCAGAATGGAGGAGCAGTCATCTTCGGGGGTGTGGACAACAGCCTGTACCAGGGGCAGATCTACTGGGCCCCGGTCACCCAGGAGCTCTACTGGCAGATTGGCATTGAGGAGTAAGTCTTGGTGAGGCCCTGGGGTTGTGGGCAGTCCCTCGGAGCAGGCTTTGGGGCACTTCATGTCCCTCACACAGCCAGGTACTGCTGGGGGGCTGGGACGGAGCACCCCCCACCTTCTCCAGGCCTGCCCTCATAAAGCCACAGCTCCCCTCTGCTGAAGTTTCAAGGCCCAGCTCAGCCTGGAGAAAAGGGGTGGGATGGGGCCAACATAGGAAGGGGCAGCATTTGGAATCCCAAACATTTCAGACCCTGTTGTCTAACCCTATGGGCTTACAGATTAGAAACTGAGGTGTGTGGTAGTTGAGGAGGGGCTAATTTACTGAAAGTACTTACAACAAATCAGGAGCCTTGGCTGTCAATGTTTCTAGAACCTTCCTTGGAACTTTTAAGTAGAGATTCCATGGCCTTTGGGGTGGTCTTAGGTAGACTCTGGCATGGTGTGAGGCAGGGGAATGGCTGGATTGACCTCTGCAGAGTCCTTACCTTCCTCATTTGCTTCTGTGGCTGTAGTCATTAGTCCCTTAGAGGTGAGGGAAGCCCACCCCCAGCTGCCCTGAGCTGGGGGTGCTCAGGCCGCTCATCTCCTCACCATTCAGGTTCCTCGTTGACGGCCAGGCCTCCGGCTGGTGCTCCCAGGGCTGCCAGGCCATCGTGGACACAGGCACGTCTCTGCTCACCGTGCCCCAGCAGTACCTGAGCGCCCTTCTGCAGGCCACGGGGGCCCAGGAGGACCAGTATGGACCGGTGTGTCTGCCGGAGGCGCTGCTGGCCTCTCCTGGGAGCCCAGAAATAGCCTGATCCTTGGCCTCCATACTTCAAGCTCCCCAAGGCACTGGATGTGCGGGCCCCCGGGATGACTGGGGTACGGCCTGGAGCCTGATTCTGGGAGGCAGCCCCTTGTGCTGAGGGGCTTTCAGGAGGTTCTTTCTAGGCAGAATTTCTTCTGAGCCTCGGCTCCTCAGGGGGAACAGGTTGAGCACTTGCTGGACTTTGAAGTGAGAGCAAAATAACTGGAAAGGGGGGCTAAGCTGTAAGCGACAAGGAATAACTTTTTAGCCCACCCGTCCCCCATCTCCATAGGGTCAGGCCCTGGCTCCCCCTCTCTCCTGAGCCCAGCAAGGGGTTTGCCTAAATAATGCATTCCCACTGCCTTGGGGGGACTGATGGGCCACTTTTTCCACAGACCTGTGTGTTTTCAAAAGACAGTGGCAGAGAAGGGACACAGGTTCAATCTGCTATGGGGGAGGGGAGGTTCAGGCAAAAGTAAGGTTTTTGGGGTGGGAGAGAGGCTCAGGTCTCCCTGAATCCTACTCCCTGTACGTGAGTAAACACAAGTAGTGCCAGCAGGGCTTACACAGGAATTTCCTTGAGTGTTGCCACCTTAGCCCAAAAGCAGGCTTGGGACTCAGGCTTGGGGCCAGAGGGGTTGAGGTGGCCAAGTTGGCAGCTACTCTCAGGTGGGAGATGAGGCAACCTGGGCCCTGTTCCTCTCTCTGCAGTTTCTTGTGAACTGTAACAACATCCAGAACCTGCCCACCTTCACCTTCATCATCAATGGTGTGCAGTTCCCTCTGCCACCCTCCTCCTACATCCTCAATGTAAGTCCTGGTCCCCACAGGCTGAGCCAGCAGGGACATAATCAGGTGGGAGGAAGGTACGGGGAGCCAGAAATGCTCAGTCTCCTTACCTTGTGCCATTTCCTGACTTCCTGGAGCACTGACTTAGTTTCCCCACTCATTGAATCTACACGCCCTTCTCTGGAACCAGGCTGTGAAGACTGTCATCTATTATTCATTATTATTATTAATTAGTGGGGCGAGGCGCTGGGCTCTTTGTTGTGCACTTACCAGCATCAGCCTCTGTGCGAAGCCCTTTACCTACACTACCCCACCTAACCGTCATAACATTCAATGAGGGAGATACTAATTTCTATTGTACAAGTGACCACTTGGAGGTTCAGAGTGGTCAGGTTACTCCTCCAAGGCTACACAGCTAGTCAGGGTGAAACTAAGGTTTGGATCCATGGTGATCTGCCTCAAAGGCTTGACCACAAGGCCAAGACCTGCTCTAGGCACAAAGGCCTGACCTGCTCTAAGTCAGGAGCAGGAGGTAGGTGAGTGGGGAGGGGCATGAAGAGAGGAGTCCCTGCAGAGGGTCACTGCAGCCTGTATTTCTCCATTCCAGAAATCCCTCCCATCAGCCTCTGCGCTGGCAGCTCAGCTAGCCTGAGCTCTCAAGGGCAAATACCCTGGCTCACTAATTTCTGCGTTTGTGTTCCGTGCCTTGTTCTTGTGTGAGCAAAATGAATGAGTGCTGTGCTTTTGTCTTGTGCAGAACAATGGGTACTGCACCGTGGGGGTGGAGCCCACCTACCTGCCCTCCCAGAACGGCCAGCCCCTGTGGATCCTTGGGGATGTCTTCCTCAGGTCCTACTATTCCGTCTACGACATGGGCAACAACAGGGTGGGATTCGCCACTGCCGCCTAGACTCAGTGCCTGGACGCCTGGGCTCCTTGCTTCCTCTTGGCCCCCCACCTTGCAGGGCCTTCTCTCTGTGCTTCTCCTCTGGATTCAGACTTTCTTTTCTGGACTCTGGACTTTTTCTAATAATAAATAGTTCTTCTCCATGTTGGTCAGCCTGTTGTTTTTTACAGGACAGCTGTAGCCTGTAAGGCCGCTTCTGGCTTCAAGGAATGGGGGTGAGATTTGCTTCTGCTGATCTCAGGGGTGAACCTGCATCTGAACCATGTTTATTCCTTAGTTGCTTTGAGGTTTCTGGGTGGGTCACTGAGATTCTAAGGGAAATGGAGAATAAAATAGGGCTTGGGGATGGACCCTCTATGCTTCACAGATCCTTTCTAGAGAGGAAAGACAGTGGCAGTGACATCAAAGGGAAAAGGAGCCCTACTCTGACAACCCAAAATGTCCTGCTGGCTGATGTGTTGATAACTTACCACCAGATTTACTTCATGCATGTCCACACACATGTCCACAGCGGTATGGCTAGGGGGTTGAATGAATCTCTAATGCACCTCCTTATTTGGGATCGAGTTTACACCAGGAGCTTCCTGAGGCATGCCAGGTGCTGAGGTTGCCTATGTGTGCGTGCTTGTAAGTCGTGGGTCCTCTAGGGAGAAGGCTGATGTAACCAGAACCTATTTCCAGGAGGTTTTCCGAAGGTCTGAGCTGAATTAAGCTGATAAAATTTTCACCCAGACACCTATATCCTGAGGCTTGTATTTGAGCAAGGGGTAGCCCTCACCAGTGGACAAGAAGATGATGGCCCAGCACCCTGTAGCTTTCAACAGGGGAAGGCGACATGAAAGATCAGAACATTTCTGATTTCGATAGTGGTGGGGATTACCAGCAAGCTCCAACTGATGAGACCTAGGTATGGAGGGACTGTAAATCAAAACTCATAATGGGAGGAGAGCTGGGCTCTATCCCACAGTCACATGTCTTTTATCTTGTCCTTCACCAGGCTGACCCCAACCTAGCCCCTTATGCTCAGGAACAGAGGTAAAAATGCAGGCCCATTACCCCCATTGCACATCAGGTGGGAGACTGAGGTTGCCACCCCAAAGTTACTACAACAACGCACACCGCCTGGGACCCTACATCCTTCCCAGACTCTGGGAAAGACAGCATGCTGCATGCCTCTCCTTAGGGTCAGACAGGCCACAGAGTGTATTAGTAATGAGCTCTGTCTGGTTCCCGACATCGCCGACTGAGGAGAGAAAGAAAACTTGCAAAAGGGGCAGAAACGAAGTGGAACAAAAGTCCCAAGTTAAATGCGAAGTCCCTGTATACTGCCTTTGGCCCACAGAGCGGGACTACAAACCCCCGCGTGCCAGGTAGAGCTGCCCTGAAGACTACGTCTCCCAGAGGGCTCCGCGGCAGGCCGATGGGGGGCGGGGCGGGGCGGGGCCGCGGGGGTGGGTGCTGCCCTCTGCCGGGCGCCGCGGGAAGTGGGCGCGGAGTGACAGCGGGAGCCCGGGCGCCGGGCGCGGGGCTCGGTGACAGCGGAGGCGGCGGCCGCTGGCTAGACGTAGGGAGCGGCGGCGGCGCCGACAGCAGCGGAAAGGGCGGACAGGGCGGGCCTCCCTGGGGGTGCCGAGCCGGAGGAACTCGGGAGGGGGCGGCAAGCGCAGTTTGCGGGCCGGACACCTGAACTTGGGACAAGTTGCCGGAGCCCCGGGGCGCGGGCGGCGGACGGATTGACCTTCAGAGCTAGGTGAGCGGGGCCGGGGGGCAAGGGGTGCGCGGAGGGCCCGGAACTTCTGGCCCAGACTCCCCCGCCCCCATCCCGTGGGTCCGGGAGACAGGTGGGTGGGTGGGGGTGCGGGCTGGATTGGGGAGCAGGACCGAGTACGCCGCGCCGCCACCGGCCCTGCTGTCCGTCTAGCCTGGGACGCCCGGCGCGTGGCCCAAGCAGCGTTGCCCGCCGATCCCGGGAACCCGTGCGGCCCCTCCCTTCAGGCCCGGGCCGGGGGCGGCTTCTCTGCGACCTTATGTAACCAGGCGGGAGGGGCCGAGGCGGGCTAGGGCCTTCCCGGCCCGGGAGCGGAGAGCCGAAGGGGCGGGAGGCGTGGGAGTGAACTTGTAAGAAGTTTGAGGGACTTGTGGGCCGCGCGCCCACTTTTTCTCCCCCGGACGCGGTGGGGGCGGGTGGTGCGGGGGAGGGCGCCGGAGGTAGGGGAGGTGTGCGGGGGCCGAGCCCGGCCCAGCCAGGCCCTGCCGGGATGGTCCGGGGGAGTGGGAGGGCCGGAGCGGCGCCACGCCCCGGGGGCTGGGCTGTTGAGGGCGGGGCGGGGGGGGGGGAACGGGTGGAAGTACCATCCTTCCCTCCCTTCCCGTCCCTTCCTCTCCCTCCGTCTCTTGAAGCCTCCCCTGCTCACGTCCCCTGGTATCCCCGAGCGCTGCTGTCTTTTTCTCCCCCTTGCATTATTCCACGATTTTAGGAATCCCAATCCCAGAGATTACCCTCCGCGCACCCCTCTTTCTTTGTGTTTTCCCTAGAGTTCCCAAGTGATCTGCCCGGCCTCCGAGTACCATACACCCCCCCTCCCCCTTACACACACCTTGTTGGTCCTGAGTCCCGGAAAACACTCCCCCTTCCCCCTCTTCCCTGAGGTCGCACAGTCAACTCCAGGCTGTCCCGCCCCCTAAATTAGCGTTCACTTTTCACCCTCCCCGTTCTCTGGATGGCTATTCGGCCGCGGCGCGTGCACTTGCCTCCTGGACTGGAGCGGGCTGATGCCAGTTCGGTCCCCGCCCCTCGGCCCCCTCCCCGTCTGGGTTCTGGCTTCACGCACGGCTGCTCTGAGCTGCTTCGGGTTGCGAGAGCAGGTTCGCGCCGCAGCCGCCTGGCGCACCCCAGCCTCGTGCCCAGGGGGGGAGAGGGCGGTGCCCGTGCTGCCCAGGGCTCCCCCTTTCTGGTTCCCTGCCAGCCCCTCACTACGGAGTCCTTGCAGGATCCCCCGTCCACTTCAGTCGCAGTCTTCTGGCTTGTCCCTTCTGGGGACGGTTCTGGGTGGGCAGTTTTTAGACTAAACGTGAGCACAGTGCTTTAGCTTCACGTTCATTCGTTGGGGAAGTGCCAGTTAATTACCGCTCAGCCTCCACCCCGACCCCCCCTTAGTGAGGAGTTGCTTAGTGGAGCAGGGAGGGGGGCAAGGCTGAGGCAGCCTTCCCCCTCAGGCCTCTCCCCCCCGTGACACCTCTGGGATGTGGACTCAGGCCCTTGCACTTGCCCTGGCCGAGATTCCACCGGCTCAAGACCTGCTTTCATCTAGGGCGGCCAGATGCCGGTGTGCTCAGATCAGAATGCAGCTCTTGGCTCCTTGGCCTGTTTCCTCTGAGGCCTTCTCTGTGCCCAGTCTGGCAGACAGCTCCTAGACCCTGCCTTCAGGGCGGTCACAGTCCAGGAAGAGACCGTAGCACTAGTTAAAGGTGTCTGTAGAGGCACTGGTAGGGGAAGGGCCAGAGCCTCAAGAGTCCAGGCTGGTTAGTCTGTCGGTATGCTGGTGCTAGGCCTCAGTTTCCCCAACCTTGGGAAAAATAGCAACTGGCTTGGCCCCTTTCTTTCTGGCTGCTGGGACAGGAGAGTGGGAACCAGAGTGCAAATGAAGGGCTGTTTCAGGCGACTCTACGTTCTTTTCCTGGAGGGGAGCCAATGTTGCCTGCAGTGGACAAGGCCTATTACAGCTGCAGTGCTGTTTTGCCTTAACTCAGCTCGTTGAGGTGCAGTTAAATGGAAACCCAGGTCTCCTGGTTCTGGGTCCCATGGAAGGGGGGCAGGGTTGGGGGCAGGGGACATCTCCTCAGGTGAGCACTGAATCCAGGGAGAGCCAGCTGGGCTTCTGAGGGCTGATGGCCTGGTGACTAGCAGTCAGAGGTGAGTGGGGTCTGGGCCAGGGCAGGCAGGTAGGGTCCTAGAACAGTGGAGATACCCAGTGTCCATCCTCATTGCCAGTCAGGACCCCCTTTAAGTCTCTCTGATGGAAAGTAGGTAGGAGGAGCCCCCCATTCCTCAGATCTGGCTGTCCTTCGAGGGTCTGGCTTCTGGCTCTGATCCCTCCTGGGGCTCTGTTTATGGCTGTAATTGCATCACTAGCCAGAGTTTATAGAGTTACTTAGCACCTGCCCCCACAGGGAGTGGCCCAACCACACGATGGTGTCTGTCTCTTCCTTTTCAAAGTCAACTTGGTTTCTGCTGGCAGCAGGGGTTTCCCCAACCACAGCTGGCATGAAAGCCAGGTTAGGCCTTTGTCCTGTGGATGGAGGGCAAGGAGCACTTGGGGCCCAGCTTGGGGCTGCCCTGGAGTTGGCCGTGGAAATTGAGTTGGCTTCTTCTGATACAGAGGGAGGGAGCTTAGGATTGCCAGGGCTATCAGAATTGTCCATACCCCAGGATGCAGCGTATATGTATGTAACATGTGTACGCTCATCTGAAAAGAGGGAGGTAAAAAGGCACACACCTCATGGGCTGTTGTGAGGATTCAGAGAGGAGCTACATGGTAAGTCCATTGTGTTGCTCTGGGTGTGAGTGTGGGGAGTGTGTAATTGATGGGAGTTTGTGTGATTATGAGATTATAGGTATCTATGTGTATATAGATGAATGTGTATATGGGTGTGAGACTGCAACAGTAACACAGTATCATGTCAGTAGAATATTTGTTCTCTTTATGCTATAATAAAATAATATTATAATAAAACTTAGTCCTAAACAACAGTTGCCAGCATTTATTGTGCATTCTTTAGAATGAGGTATGAATTACTATTTTTATTATACTGACACAGGAAAGTTAAGTCAGTTGCCTGAAGTCACACAGCCTAGAAGTGGTAGGGATTCTAACCAAGGCCCAAATGACTCCAAAACTTCTCAATGTTCCCTCAGCCCCTAAAGAGCCCTTCAGGGATCCCTTCAGGCTCCCTGGCTTGGAATCGCAGCTCTGCCCCTCACTAGCTGTGTGACCCCAGGGAATCCTAAAGAGCCCTTCAGGATTCCCAGGAGTTTTCTCTTAAAAGGTGGTTGTGTGGTGGTCTGGGAACTTTCTTTCTCCCACCCAGGTCTCCTGCTCTGGTGGGGTCGGGACGGTGGTGAGAACTTGATGAGGCCCCTGCCCCAGGACCACACATGTCTCTTGTCTCCTTCTCTGAGCTGCTGTTGCAGGTGATCAGAGGACCCCTGCTGAGAACTCTCTGGACTGGCCTGGCTTCAGACAAGGCTTCCTGGGTCTTCTTGGAAACCACATATAGTAACTTCCAGTGAGGCCTGAGCTCAGGAGGCACTTGTTTAATCAGATACAGAGAAAAGGCCGTGAGGGCTATTGCGTGATGATGAGACAGCAATGAAAGTCATGGGCACCCGGGAGACCCCACCCTGCCTCTGACAGGCTATGTGCCTGCGGCAGGTTCCTGTTCCTCCCAGCTTCAGTTTCCGTATCTGTGCACCTAAATCACCTGTGCAAAGCTCCTAGGGATCCCTGGCAGAGGCACCAGAATAGGAGAGGCTCCGGAAAGGGAAGGATGCGCAGAGGGATATGAAGGACTGCTGAAGTCCATCCAGTAGAGCTTTAGCCAAAGGCTGGCCCTGGTGGAGTGACCAGCCAGTTTTTCTTGGGACATAGCCATGGCTTCCATGTAATGAGCACTGGGCTAAGTGTAACCTAGGCAGGGGGTCGTTGAGAGAATGGGCTCTGGGGCCAGGCTCCCTGGCTTGGAATCGCAGCTCTGCCCCTCACTAGCTGTGTGACTCCAGACAAGCTGCTTAACCCCACTGGGCCTCCATTTCTATGCCTAAAGAGTGAGGATTACGGTAGCACCTACCTAACAGTGCTGTAGTGAGGGCTAAGAATGTTCATGCACGTTCCATATGCAGGACTCAGTGCCATGCTCAAAAAAATGTTAGTTGTTTTCATCCTCAACTCTTATAACTTGCTTTTTTATTTCTTATTTTCAAGTGGGAAAACAGAGGCATAGAGAGCCATAGGGAAGAAATGAAGAACTATGGGTTGCAAATAGCCCCCTGTGCATGTAACATCTGCAAACGAAATGCCTGCTTTGGAGACTCTATGGCCACAGTTCCCACCACTCCCTGTTGCTCCACACCCAGTCTGGTCTCCCCGTTTAACAGGATAGCATAGGGGACTTGGCAATGCCTGCAGCATCTCTACCACCCCTCTTCTGCCTGTCCCCTGGGGCTCCTTGGGAGGCATCTGGCCTGGTCACTTACTACCCACTCCTGACCCATGGCTCTCCCCTGTGCTCCTGCTGCCCGCCCCTCTTCCGCTCTGCACCAGAGACGCAGGTTCCCTTGGTTGCGATGTCACTGAAGACAGAGCTACAATCCCAGCAGCAGAGCTGGATCTGGAACTTAGCATTGCCCATAGGAAGTGCTTTGCTGTGGGGTGGCGGGGCAGAGGGCAGCGCAGGGGGGCAGAAGCAAGAGGCAGAGTCATTGACAGTTTTATTTCCTGTGTCTTAAGTATGGGCATAAGGAGGAGGAGAAGTGAAGCCTGGCCATCCCACCCCTGCCCAGCTTCCTTGGGCAACCTCCTGTTGGCTCTTATCCACACAGAGGAAGTCCCAGTGTAAAATGTGATGCCATGAGGGTTATCCAGGAATCCGAACAGACTCTCCAGAAACCCATGGCCCATGTTCCCTTCTTCCAGCCCTTGTTCATGCTGGTTCCCTCAACTGGCCCCTCCTGCCTTCCTGTCCAAATCCCCT